GGGGTATAAACTAGAGATTCTTAAAATAACGATAAGAAAGTAATTAACTTTTCATGGAAAATAAAATAAAACGGAAATGTACATAACATTTGATATGATTGATAAATTTTCTAAAGTATTCTAAAAGATGGGTTTTGTGGTGATATTAATCAACATATGCTCACTAGTGACTGGCTTCACGAGGTATATCCTGGAGTCCTAGTGAGAAGTAGTGACCAGTGGAGTTCAACCAGGTCTGTTGTGAGATAGTAACTCACTGAAGACAGTGATGAATGTGTCGCTCAATTATGTGGATTAGTTGAAGTTAGATATTAACACTGTTGGATGTCAGTCAGTCAGTAACAATGTAGAACTTCGTACGTACGTACATCAGTTCGAGTTGCCACACCACAATAGCACAGAGATGCAGTTGTCGATTCAAATCCCGTAGTGGTAGAGGTAATAAGAGTATAAGCAGTAATCGGGGAGATTAGTGTTTGGAGATGTTATTTAAAGAGTATAATCCAGTGAAATAAACTTGGGAAGAGAAAAAAAGAGACAAGGAGGAGAACACAAAGAGTGTATGCACCTGCGCCATTGCAAACGATTTTGAGCCATGTCATCCAGGGTCTCTAACCATAGGTTGCTATCATATCGCGGTCCCCAACCAGATAGTCTACACCTACCGACATGACTCACTCTGTGCACTTGTCAGTGACTTCATGGACTTGTGCTATGTTTTGGTCTGGCCGCCACTAGATTTCTTCCAACCTACTCCTACACCATTGAACATCTCACGTCGAGGCAGTCGGTGGTTGGGCATACGTAACACGTGTCCCAGCCATCTCAACTGATGAATTTTCACTACTTCATCAATTGATTTGCCATCCTTACCTAGTACCCGTTTCCTAACAACTGTGTTACTCGATGGTCCCATGATATACGAGCAATGTTTCGAAGACAATTATGATCAGATACTAGTAGCCATAAAGTAGGACGGAACGAACTGCTGCTCGGTAAACCCGTCCTTTGGCTAATAGACGGATATCTCACCTACCCGACCGAAGCTGCTACCTTGACGCGGCGGTCGGGCTTGCTTATCGTGATGACCCAACCAAGCTATATTGGCTGGAACATATGTTCCTGTAGGTTCTACCATGCCAGGCAGGTCGATTGGAGAACGGTAAGACTAAAAGCAGCAACTCAAGGTCTGAGGGCGAAGTCGTACTGCTGACTGTAGAGGGGGTGACAGCAGTAAGGTGTTTCCCTCGGACAACCAGCATCTGCAGCGATGCTGCCTTCCAACAAGGAGGGGTGGGGTTAGAAAAGGTCGACCCTAAAAATATCACACCTCACCTTACCACACGGAGCTAACACATTAAAAACCTTCCACGAAAAGGCCGTGCGCGACCGGCCTCAAGCAGTTGTCCCTTGGGCTCTGCGGTCACGCTCCCAGGTCTTTAAGACCAACACTAATCCAATTTCCTTTTCAGGTTCCTCAAGAAATACCCTTCCACGGTGTGGGCAGCCGGGAAGTGATAACCGCCCTCATACCCGTAACAGCACACGAGACCAAGTTGGTCACATTCAAATCCTTCCTACACCTCCTAATACCTCTCTTATCTCCATGACTAACCCTCCTCACGTCTCTTTATCACCTCGCACCGCTAGGGCAAACGATTCGAGTACGCGGAACGCTATTCCTGGTCTCCTGAAACCACGCTCTAAACTACACGTAGGAGCTTTTAACGTACGAACACTGTGCCAAATAGGACAACAGGCTTCCTTAGCTAGGACTTTAGAATCTCGCGCCATCGATGTGTGCTGCGTCTCCGAAACGCGCATACAGGATCCGAGTAGCGTCATTCATTTGACCTCACCATGCCAAAATAAAGAACCGACTCGATTCACACTTCGTGTATCTGGAAGCCCTGATTCTGCTTCCCGTGGCCTCGCCGGCGTAGGTATAGCATTGAGTCCTAGGGCAGAACTAGCTCTCTTAGAGTGGATCCCAGTAGACAGTCGTTTGTGCGCTGTCCGACTGAACGGAACAGTAAGGATCCGGAAAGATAGGGACACTCGTCGTTGCCTCTTCGTCGTCTCTGCCTATTCTCCCACTGACTGCAGCTCAGATGATGTAAAAGATGAGTTTTACAGAAAGCTTTCCGACCTCCTCCGAAAAGCTAGGCGCTCGGATGTAGTAATAATGGCCGGTGACTTTAATGCTCAAGTAGGTAAACTAAGCGATAGGGAAAGACACCTGGGTGGATCTTATGGTCGTGGCTCAAAGAACAGATAATGGCGACCGTCTGTTGCAGCTATGCTCAGATAACCGCCTGTTCCTTGCAAATACTAACTTTAAGCATAAGGAAAAACATCTTTTAACATGGCGACCCCCTAATTCGTCCCAACGTTGGACCCAAATAGATCACATCGCTATCAGCCACCGATGGAGGGGCTCGATAGAAGACTGTCGCTCATTCTGGAGCACATGCTTAGATTCAGATCATGCTCTAGTGCGAGCGCGTATTTGCTTGCGTCTTACTGGACGTAGGAAAGACGCTGCAAGGAAACCTCTTAGGGCCTACTTAATGATAGTCAAGCTAAGAGTATATTTCAGGAACAACTAGGAAAACAGTTAGGCAGCCATGTATGTGATGCCCACCCCGAGGCAGCATGGAATGATATCCGAAAAGCTGTGGAAACAGCAGTGATATCTGCTAGTAAGGTAAACCAGAAGGTTAGGGAGCAACACTGGATCTCAGCAGCATCTATCGCACTGATAGATGCTCGGAAACTCATTCCACCTGGCTCTGAACATAATGAAGAGCGGAGTCAGCTTAAGCGCAAGCTGACAAGAAGTCTACGCAATGATCGTGAACAGTGGTGGGTAGCGAAAGCAAGAGAGATGGAAAAGGCAGCGGCAATAGGTAATAGCAGACAATTGTTCAGACTTGTTAAGGAAACCGGTATTAGGAAACCGACTGTTAGCGAAACAATCTCAGAGAAAGATGGACATATTATACATTCTCAATCCAGGAGATTGGATCGATGGGCAGAACACTTTAGGGATCAGTTCAACTGGCCTTCAGCCACACTTCGGTTTCCCACGATCTCCAGTCAACCTGAATGGCAAGTTAATGTAGGTCCTCCGTCCCTTTACGAAGTTGAAAAAGCCATAGGAAATCTGAAACGAGGGAGAGCAGCAGGCCCTGACAGGTTTACTCCTGAGATTTTTAAGGATGGTGGTCCAGTATTAGCAGAGAGATTAACTGAGGTCTTAGGTAGAATTTGGGAACTGGACGTAATCCCATCTGACTGGTCTCAATCACTGATTGTGCCAGTCTATAAGAAAGGACAAAAGTCCTCTTGTGACAATCACAGAGGAATCAGTTTGACTAATATAGTGTCTAAAATATTAGCTTCAATAATACTTCGACGCCTAACCAAGCTCGTGAAGAGCAGACTAGAGAAAATCAGGCTGGTTTTCGACCTGGACGTGGTTGTATAGATCAGATATTCACACTACGTCAGGTTCTAGAACACAGACACACGTTCAGACGCCCCACAATGGTAGTATTTCTCGACCTTAAGGCGGCATTCGACTCAGTTGATCGTGAGGTTCTATGGCAGTGTTTGTCACTGAAAGGAGTACCAAAGAAGTACATTAACCTTATAAAGGCTCTCTACTCGAACACAACTGGTCGAGTGAGAGCTTATGGCGAACTGTCATCAGAATTGATTACCTCAAGTGGTGTTCGTCAGGCCTGCCCACTCTCTCCATTCTTGTTCAACTTTGTCGTCGTACCGTTGGATGCCGGCTAGCTCAGTGGTCTAGTGGTTAAGTGCTCGCGCGCGAAACCAGTAGGTCCTGGGTTCGCATCTCACAGGAGGCGAGGTCGTGGACGCGCACTGCTGAGGAGTCCCACAATAGGACGAAACGGCCGTCCAGTGCTTCCAGGTTTTCCATGGTGGTCCAGCTTCAACTGACTCATGATCTGAACCATTGATATTCTAAAAGATTTTGAGATTTGAATTTAAAACGTTATCTACATTAGTGTTTATGATTATATATGGTTATATAATATTTACTTGTACTCTAATCCTAACACATTTCCTTTACTGCAATAAATAATTAAGTATAAAAGAGTTCATCAATCATGCCAATACTATTTATCTATTCTCATTTTATAATTCGTTTTTGCTTTCTTAATTGTTTCATAACTAAAACACTATTTACTGATTAGTTGAAAAGTTATTCAAATCATCAAACTACATCACGAGGCAAGCCCTAACTCGGAATCCTGAAGGGAAGGAGAGAAGGGGAAGGCCAAAGAACACATGACGTCGGGAAATAGAATGAGATATGAAAAAGATGAATAACAACTGGAAGGAGCTGGAAAGGATTGCCCAGGACAGGGTTGGATGGCGAATGCTGGTGAGTGGCCTATGCTCCTTCACGAGGAGTAACAGGCGTAAGTAAGTAAGTGAAAAGTTATTCAACGTTATTTGTCAGTTTAGTTTACTTCTACGTTCGAAAACTAATAATAAGTAGATGTTTATATCTTTGAATTAAATCAATTTCAAGATTTTAAAAGTCTGAAACCACTGCTATTTTAAAATCTGAAATATTTTGACTTCAGTCAAATATAGTTCAACTAGTTAACCCTAAAATATCACATATCATATGAAGATAATAAAAAGTGAATTTCTGATCATATACAGTCAACCAAATATACTGCATAACTCGATGAGAGGACATCAACTCTTTCATGATTGTAAATACCTTGTTATTAACGAAAGCCAAATAGCATGAAACTTAGATTTAGTCTCTTCTGTTTACCTTCGAATTAGGATGTAGCGGATCCCCCCAAGGTAGAACCAAATAACTAGTTTATTTAGTGTACCTAAGTAACACGAAAATGACATACTTTTACTAACATACACACACACATGTGTTATACCACTTATTTACTGATCCAGGAGAATTGTCACCAAAAAAAATACGAATAATCCAATACTTGTTCAATAGAAATAAATCATGGTTTTATTGACTGTTGTTACTGACATTATTTTGTTTTTATATGTTCACTTTTTTATATAGAAAAAAAAAGATAATTTCTACAGAGTAACAGGAAAATCCAAAAGAGGGTGTGGAGAAACTAGAGGGAAAATGAAATCAGTTAGTCAGACATAGACAACACAAGATCTGGTTATGTATACACACATCTATATCTGTTTAAATTGTCACATCTCTAGTCCGTAAAAAACAAAACAATGTGATATAGAAAGAGGAAATTAACGAAAATGAGAGGCGCGTTAAACATTTAGTTCAAAATGAATGGATAATACAATGAGTGAAGTGGTAGTACACAATGAATAAATCAATAATAGTAATAATAATACATGGAATTACAAAGTGTGTATGCAATGAACATGAAAATAATCATAGTATAATTCAAGACAAAATATAATAATTCAGTGGGAAAAAAATATGAATAAAAGCTTATTCATAGAAAAGGTCCTGTTTGCTGATCATTAAAATGAGTCGAATATAAACAAGTCAAAATGTTATGTGGGAAAACTAGGGATTATTCATGATCAATACAAGTGGTTATCGATGAGAAAAAAAAGAAAATTTTCCATATAAAAAGTATTATGAAAACAGTTATACACATTAAACCATAACCGGAGAAAATCTATGTATTACATAAATTTGAAAGAAACAGACTCGTATTATTGTTGTTATTATTATTGTCTATTTGTCTTCTTATGTCTTTTCTTCTATTTCTTCATCGAATTCAACAGTAGTATATTCTTCTAAAAGACCTGCTTGTTCATAATACTTCATTGCTATACGTCCTTCATGAGCTTCACTAGCACCTTCAGCGGCTGATTCGAAGAGTTCGTCTACAATTTTGTTTATTTTTTCATAAAGAAAATTATCAATATACAATATAAATAAATGAAGGTATGTCAAGGGGCGCTGAAACATTTAAATCAATACAATTTGTGAAAATTCGTACAAAAACGAAAAGATGCTAACAATAATCACATAGTTTATTATCAAATGAATGTTGAAGGTGTTATGCTTTACGAGTAAGGAAAACGGTTAATTGAATCGTATCTTCAATAATTAGCTTATGCAATGCATGTATAATCTAGACAGTAAAAATCAGTAAACGATGATCCCATCCTATTATTATTATTAATAATAATTACATAAAGAATATTAAGACTACAAAAAGATTATCTAGGTCACTAGCAATAAGTGTAGATCACAACCCCCCCCCGCCAAATCAATACTATGCACGCAAATAGGACACAAAGAAAAGAGAAAATAAGCCAATACAATTTAATCATTCCAGTCAGAGTATAATATCTACCTAAATCTTCATCTTGAGCTACAAATATTCTGTATTATCTTATAAGATGGAGGCATATGAATATTGGTTTGAATTCATGAATTAAACATAAAATGATAGTTGGCTGTTTACAAGTAGCATTAGCACCGAGTTCATCCAACATATTTATTATCTTATAACTGGTAAATCTCAAATGTAATACAAAAAAAGTTAATGATTGGCTAATTGGGAAAAAATAGAAGGAAGTAAAATATTGGAAGTGTTGTGATCAGCCTAGAGACCACAACACATCCGACATACTCACCTTAAACTATTAATGTTTTTTTTATCATCTCTAAATAGTAAAATAACTCCGCCTGGAGTCCCTCCGGGGGCTACTGCCGGTCCCAAGCCCGGATAAAGGAGGAGGGTTGGGCATGGGGTTAGCGTCCCCATCCCGTAGAAAACTAACTCGCTAAAAAAACGCTAACCAGAAAAAATTATTCAAACCTTTTAAACTCTGCCCTGGGAGTCAGAAGGTCTTCATTTAGAAGAATTATGACGCCTCATGATGAAAGCCGAATTCCTTCGGAAGTTACGAGGCCGATGCCCCTTCTGACAACCAGAGCAACCATTTATTTAGGTACATGGAATGTTCGTACAATGTGGGACACCGGAAGAGCCTTCCAAATTGCTGCAGAAATGAGAAGATACAACCTAGAGGTACTTGGGATCAGTGAAACACATTGGACACAAGTTGGACAACAACGACTAACTACAGGAGAGCTCCTGTTATACTCCGGCCATGAAGAAGAAAATGCACCACATACACAAGGAGTTGCATTGATGCTGTCCAAACAAGCGCAAAATGCACTTATAGGATGGGAATCTCATGGACCAAGGATCATCAAAGCCTCGTTCAAAACAAAGAAAGAGGGCATTTCAATGAACATCATCCAATGCTATGCGCCTACCAACGACTACAATGAAGACGCTAAAGATCAATTCTACAATAGGCTGCAGTCAATCGTCGAGAAGTGCCCAACAAAGGACCTGACCATTCTGATGGGAGATTTCAACGCCAAGGTTGGAACGGACAACACTGGATATGAAGACATCATGGGACGACACGGACTGGGAGAAAGAAACGAAAATGGTGAGAGATTTGCAAATCTATGTGCCTTCAATAAGCTGGTCATAGGCGGCACCATATTCCCACATAAACGCATACACAAAACCACATGGACTTCACCGGATCACTCTACACAAAACCAAATCGACCATATTTGCATCAACAAAACGTTCAGGAGGACTATAGAGGACGTGAGAACCAAGAGAGGAGCTGATATAGCATCAGATCATCACTTGCTGGTCGCCAAGATGAAATTGAAACTCAAGAAGCACTGGACAACGGGGCGGACAGTATCACAAAAGTTCAATACGGCCTTTCTCCAGGATACTAACAAACTCAACAAATTCAAGATAGTCCTCAGCAACAAGTTCCAGGCCTTTCATGATCTACTCAATGGAGAAGGAACTACTGTGGAGAGCAACTGGAAGGGGATCAAAGAGGCAATCACTTCAACATGTCATGAGGTCCTGGGTCACAAGAAGCACCACCACAAGGAATGGATCACTGTTGATACACTGGATAAGATTCAAGAAAGAAGGAACAAGAAGGCAGCAATCAATACCAGCCGAACAAGAGCAGAAAAAGCCAAGGCACAAGCTGAATACACGGAAATAAACAAACAAGTGAAGAGGAGCATCAGAACCGACAAACGTAAATATGTGGAAGATTTAGCAACGACGGCGGAAAAGGCTGCAAGAGAAGGAAACATGAGACAATTGTATGACACGACAAAGAAACTCTCTGGAAATCGCCGCAAACCAGAACGACCAGTGAAAAGCAAGGAAGGCAAGGTAATCACCAACATTGAAGAGCAACAAAACAGGTGGGTAGAACACTTCAAAGAACTCTTGAATCGACCAGCTCCACTGAACCCACCCAACATCGAAGCAGCACCCACGGACCTCCCAATCAATGTTGGCCCACCAACAATTGAAGAAATCAGCATGGCCATCAGACAAATCAAGAGTGGCAAAGCAGCAGGACCGGACAACATTCCAGCAGAGGCACTAAAAGCAGACGTAGCGGCAACTGCAAGGATACTCCACATTCTCTTCAATAAGATTTGGGATGAGGAACAAGTACCAACAGACTGGAAAGAAGGACTTCTGATCAAAATACCGAAGAAAGGCGATCTCAGCAAGTGTGATAACTACAGGGGCATCACTCTTCTCTCAATACCGGGAAAAGTCTTCAACAGGGTATTGTTAAACAGGATGAAGGACTGCGTAGACGCCCAACTTCGTGACCAACAGGCAGGATTCCGTAAGGATAGATCGTGTACAGACCAAATCGCAACTCTACGGATCATTGTGGAACAATCAATTGAATGGAATTCATCACTCTACATCAACTTCATTGACTACGAAAAGGCATTTGATAGCGTGGACAGAACAACACTATGGAAACTTCTTCGACACTACGGCGTGCCTCAGAAGATAGTCAATATCATACAGAATTCATATGATGGATTACACTGCAAAATTGTGCATGGAGGACAGTTGACAAAGTCGTTCGAAGTGAAGACCGGTGTCAGGCAAGGTTGCTTACTCTCACCCTTTCTCTTTCTCCTGGTGATCGACTGGATCATGAAGACGTCAACGTCTGAAGGGAAGCACGGGATACAATGGACATCTAGGATGCAGTTGGACGATCTAGACTTCGCAGATGATCTGGCCCTTCTATCCCAAACGCAACAACAGATGCAGGAGAAGACGAACAGTGTGGCAGCAGCCTCAGCAGCAGTAGGTCTCAATATACACAAAGGGAAAAGCAGGATTCTCCGATACAACACAGAATGCACCAATCCAATCACAATTGACGGAGAAGATTTGGAAGATGTAAAAACCTTTACATATTTGGGCAGCATCATTGATGAACAGGGTGGATCTGATGCAGATGTGAAGGCGCGGATCGGCAAAGCAAGAGCAGCATATTTACAACTGAGGAACATCTGGAACTCAAAGCAACTGTCAACCAACACCAAGGTCAGGATTTTCAATACAAATGTCAAGACAGTTCTACTGTATGGGGCAGAAACCTGGAGAACTACGAAAGCCATCATCCAGAAAATACAGGTGTTTATTAACAGTTGTCTACGCAAAATACTTCAGATCCATTGGCCGGACACTATTAGCAACAACGTACTGTGGGAGAGAACAAACCAGATCCCAGTGGAGGAAGAAATCAGGAAGAAGCGCTGGAAGTGGATAGGACACACATTGAGGAAAGCACCCAACTGCGTCACAAGACAAGCCCTCACATGGAATCCTGAAGGTCAAAGGAAAAGAGGAAGACCAAAGAACACATTACGCCGAGAAATGGAGATAGACATGAGAAAAATGAACAAGAATTGGATGGAACTAGAAAAGAAGGCCCAGGACAGAGTGGGTTGGAGAATGCTGGTCAGCGGCCTATGCTCCATTGGGAGTAACAGGCGTAAGTAAGTAAGTAAATAGTAAAATAACATGTTAGGCCTAGTAAATCAAAGCTTTACGGAAACCCTGAACTACTCAGTATTTCGTGACGTTTTCTAGTGTGAAAGTAAACTGGAAGATAGAGGAGGTCAAACCGAAGAAAACATTGACAATTGGACCATATCATTCTAACAAGTATATACTACTTGGTTGGGGTCCGCATGATTACCGTAATCAATGGTTCGAGACTTTGAATACCATGGTTTAAAATAACTTGCGATGGCACAGGTGCATCCATTATTTGTCTTCATATAGATTCTAAGCTTCCGAATTCCTCATAACATCTTTCATTTCACTTATTTATATTTTCCAGAATTGTATATTTGATCCTCAATCTTTTCCATTACCATGTATAAAATCACTACCCTACTATTCTGGGATTTGGTCTGACAATTTCAGCTCTCTGTTCTAATGAGGTATGGGAACATGAACCGAGGTACATACGTACCAGGCGACTGACTGACTTAGTATTAATATTTAGTTGTACTGTTATTATATACACCATATTCGTGATCACACATGTGACACATATACATATAGATTAAAACAACACATAGTGCATGAAAGATAATAAGCAATAAGCTTTTTTTAAAATAGAACTATTATGATTAGGGTTGGAATCTAGCCCGCGATTTTCGTCCTATTTAGTACTCGTCAAGCGGAATCCACTTACCAGTGTTGGTGCTCCGTTATGATCTGTCAATCTGATTCAGTCATAATTCCTCGCTTCCTAAGATTTAACACACCCATTTATACAGGAGTAAGAAGACTAAGAATCCGTATAAAGCTTCAACCGTAAATTGAGCCAGTATGTAAATATAAGTTGCTAAACTGATCTAGACAAAAGTAAATAGAATGTGACTTTGGCTAGCTGAATAACTTGATTATTAACAATACCAAGCTCTTACACACCTACATGATGCCCTATGTGAATGTATCTCAAGTGATATTACAGCAACATTTTGTAAAACAGAACCCGACAATTTCACAGACTTTCTTTTTCCCAAGTCATTTATTGTCGAATGACCTTTTAATTATCTTGATAGCTTCTATTTAACCCTTCTTATGGTATATATGTTAAAATGAGATGCGTAACTTGACCTTTTAATTCATTTCTAATTCTCCTGTGATAGCTACTTCTATGTATTAAGCCATTCGTTATTGTTTGGTGCATTTCTATGTATCACTCTTAATTAAGCAGAATATTTCTTGTCTTGTTGATAAGTATTACATAACCAGAATAAAATGTAGATCTAGAGTCTCACTTTAATCACTGACTCATTGGAAAAAAATACTAATAGGCTAAATCGAAGTGATAGCATTCTGTAAATCTTACTAATTTATTCTTTCGCTATGAAAAAAAAGACAAACAAACTTGTGAACAATTAGCTAGTTAGAATAAAGCTAGAATAATAATTGGCGTTAACTCCTAAACCGAATGAACCAAGGAAATTAGTTCTAAACTTAAAGCAAACTCATGGCATTATTTATTTATTTCCCAGTTCAGTGGATATTTACTTTGGGGGTTTGAAAAGAAATGTAGTGGGTCCGAATCCTGGCGTGAACACCAACAAAGATGTAGGCACATCCAACTGAAGAGTCTCAAATAGGATTCCCCTGGTAGGTCTTATTCAACTTTACTTGTAGCTCATAAAATTGTTACGGATTCAAATATTGTAAGCCAAATTAATTATTTACAATGTTCAATCGAAAACCTTGGAATTTGCGAAAACACCAACATTAACACTTTCAAAAGAACATGAATATGACATCCTACTTGAAAATCTTGAGAGGCATGTACATAATTTATTAAATAGAAAATTAAATAGGATTTTGTGTCAACTTTCGTTCTGGCTTTATTCAAATTCATAGATGAAACTAATTGTATGAAACTAACTAGTTACATATTCTCATTGTTAAGACAATAAACCAAGCTTATCAGTAGAGGGACTGTGGAGAGATCGCCAACCGATCCAAGTTAGGTAACAATTGAAAACCTGAAGTACTAGACAGTTGTTTCGTTCGAAGATTCAGGGTTCGATCTCCGGTAGCAGGATTGTGAATGCGCATGGTTGACGAGTTTCTAAAGCCACTAGGTTTTCAATAGCTGTCTAACTTAGATCAATTTATAACTCCAATAATAATATTTGAAAAATTGATTGAACTCTTCTGATTCAAAAAACCAAATAAAAAGACTTATTAACGTGAAAATTTACACTATACAGTGGGCAGATTCAAACTATTATGCTTGGAAATAGTATCGGAACAGAGAACTAACAAAACAAGATCATTAGGTTAAAAATAAAAGATAAATAACGGTTAACTAAATACTGACGACTTAAAAGCTGATGAAAATGATTAATTGATGCATGTGTACTAAAGAATGTGTGGTCGATTCTGAAATAGCACCGAAAGTCTATTATATTAGTTTAAATTTGGCACTATGATATCAAGCGTAAGTTATCCATAGTTAACCCTAACATTTGTTAATCGTGCTAAAGATTATAATCGTCTGTAATACTATCACCGTTGTGTGTTAGGACTCTTTTACAAAAGCTGAATCCTGATTAGCTATTTTCTGATTGATCGATCCCGAGAATACTTTCAAATTCGCTTAAAGCCGTCGGTATAGTCCAGATTTAATCTAAAATAATAACTTACAAGCTTTTATTCTATCTCTGACTAAACCATGACCACCTTTAGCATACATTTCTCCTAATCGACCTTGTAAACGATAAATTGGCCATTCAGATAATGAATGAAAACCAGAACGACTCCTTTTTACAAACGATGGGTTGCGTTGATTTGTTTCATCATCTTCTGTAGCATCATCATCATCATAAGTAACAACTTTAGACGCCATTTCATACCAATGTGCAGCTGCTAACCAGTCAGGTTCTTGTTTCCGCCCATTATTATTATTATTATTATCATTATTATTATTGATATCATTACTAGTATCTGGAGAATAATAATCGCCATGATAATAAGCTTCAGCTAAATAAAGCATAGCCATACGATCTCCCGCTGATGCAGCCGCACTGATTAAAGCGAAACCATGTGCTCGAGATTCCACTGGATCAGGCTAAGTCAAAAAAGACAAGTAAGTATATTATACACATGAGAGATGGGAAAATTGTAGTAAACAAAAGTAATCCCATAACTTATTAAGAACTTTCATTAATTCAGTTGTGGCCTAAATGACTCAGTGTTAATATCGCTGACTGTGAAGCTGGATGGCATTGGATCCACCAGCGAGCATCAGTCCCCTCAAGATCACAGGTACACTGTGCTGACGGATGTCAAATAGCACGAAGCCTATGTGTCAAGCAGGGATTTATATAAACTACCTCCAACCACCATCTTTCATCAAAACATAGACTAGTAGCCACATTCCAACTTGATCAATAGGATGCGATCAGCACTAAGAAGAATTTGACATATATGATACTGATAAATAATCGGTGGTCAATTTAATTGTAAATTTATAATCTGTGTGACCCAAGAATTCCTTATGAAGAAGAAATAAAATATTAACAAAAACAAGAAACAGTTTAACGATATGAGGGCGATACTATAATTTATGGACGAACCAACGAAACTATGGAAAACAATTCTTGGATTTTTGCGTGAAATTCATTCATACATAAGTTAAATAGTATTTGGGTAGTATAGCTGATCTCAGTTCCTGAGGGAAAACCCTTATTTTAATTCTCAACCCTAATTCGACATACTAATTTATAACCCTATGTTGACTCTAGTAAGTAGGTAGTTATTTCAAGGTCACCCTAGCGTTGCTCAAAGTTCGTGCATAAATATACCTTTAGAGCAAATAATTACGAATATGATTTTAAGTAAAATTTAGATGTGTTAGACAGACCGAAATCTGGATTCCAAGGAAATTGTTAAGCACTCTAAACGATAAACTGAAAAACATCCTATGAACGCAAATGTTTATTTAAAATTTGCCAATAACCATATAAGCAAATTATATGTATTCAAAAAGGTGTAAAAATGTATTCGTCAAGAAATTTATCATTAACATGATTTTTATGGAAAACTCTTTGAAAGTGTTGCCATGTTTACCTAGTATCATTTTACTACCACTTCAGTATTTCACAGTAAGTCGATACATGGATACGCGACGAATGCTTCAAAGATAAATTATTAAAAATACGGAGCATGTGTACAAACACATCTGAGACAATTAATTATTATTTAAACGGGTAATAATAATTCAAACAGAATAAGACTAATGATTCATTTTTATTCCCTTATAATCGTATACTTTCCACAAGCAATTGTTCCATATAAGTATACTTTTTGCATCCATCCTCGTTAATTCTATTAACCATACTGCACGTTTTTATATGTGTAATTTGTTTGTATGTATGTCTGTACTTACTTATCGCATCCACTGTTTATTTGAACCATATAAACTGAGACAGAAACACTTAGTGAGTTGGTTAGTGTGGAGAATTCGTGCTGTATGCACCTATCTCCTATAGTTCGCCTACATAAATGAATGCATGGGTTATATTTATCTCGTATCTCGACTTTTGATATTGCTTTCTAGGAACGCGGCAGGTCCTAGTACATGTACGAAATTAATCCGGGATGTACATTAGGCATAAAATAATTTATGGAGTCAGAAAGACTATTCTATAGAAGTGGTGAGGCCAAGCTAGAGTTTTACATCATTGGATTTCGGCTACAATTATCTTGAAGTTAAGCGTTCGTGCGCGAGACCGAAGGTCCTAGGTTCGATTTCCAGTTGTAGGGTCGTCAGTGAGCAACGATGAGCTAAGACAGAACGGCCGTCCAGTCCTCGCAGGTTTTCAACGGCTGACTGACGTTGATCGGTTTGTGATTTCTATGAAATAATAACTATCTATTAGTTTCTTTGTATCCGAAAGTCTTAATGACTAATTATACCTACTTAATCGAATTCGCTGAGTTCAAAACAGGATCATTAATCATCAGCTGTTAATCAAAGATGACCCTAATTGAGTCAACAAATCTAAACACTTCAACCATTATCTTATTTTCAATGATAAAACTGAAACAGTAAATAGACTAACTTTAATTGGACATTCCGATAATGGACCATCAATCATTAAATTCAAATAATATTGAGCTAAACATTGAATAGCATCTAAACAACCAAGTTTAGCTGACTGTTCTAAATGAAATAAAACTGATTCCCAATTAACATTTTGTGGGCGATTTAATTCATTCAATTGATTTCCATTCAATTCTTGCTCAATATCTATAGAAGGTTGATGTTTTTTGATTTCATTGCACTTTAATTGACAATAACCGGTTTGATGCATTAAAGCTAAACGACCTGAAGCATGTAAACGAGCCAATTCATGATGTATCTGGTAAAAAAAAGGAAATTGTTTTTCATCATATTAAGTTGAATTTCATTAAAGTACTATAAAGTATATTAGGTTGATGTTCAATTGTAGTTTTTTTAATTTATCAGAGCATTGAAAATATCTTTTCGAAAGGAAGTTGAAGATCTTACAATGAACAAAGATAAAAATCAGAGAATTACAAATAAGTAAACTGTTATTCCATATTTTTTTTAAAGTTATAATCCAATCAACCCATATTTATACAGACGATGAGGTTCTCCATTCTGACCTGACATATTTTCATAGAACAACAGTAGGATTTCATATGTAACATTGACTGGTCTATTGTACGGAGCTGAAACTTGGAGAATTACTACAACAATCATCCAAATGGTACAAGTATTTATAAACACTTGTCTACGCAAGATACTCAATGTCCGTTGGCCGGATAACATCAACAACAGCCTATTGTGGGAGAACAAACCAGCTTCCAGCTGAAGAAGAAATTAGGAAAAGACGATGGAAATGGATAGGACATACATTGTGTTGAAGTCCTGTAGAATAGACACTGGAAGGGTATCTAGTGTGGTTATTCGTCTAAGACGATGAAAACCGAGCCTTACAACAATAAGCTAATGTCCGGAGCTTTAACCAGGTTGGTGGGCTCCAGGATCCTGAGGGAACAATTTTCGGTCCCCTGATACCATGGTAATGTATCTCCTAACGTTGCTCCACTGACTTGTGGATTAGACCTCTAGATCAAATGCTTGAGGAATGGTTCCCTAAGAAAACCACCTGCTTTACCTCTCACAAAAACTGAATAATTTGGGTGGTACATATGTATTTGGTGCCTCATACTAATGCTTATGTGTTTAAATGAATAAATAAAGAATAAAAAACCCAAAAATAGGTCTGATTGTGTCAATCTCATGTGAATTGTTTGGTCAAGGTGATTCTATATAAGACATTACTGTTTGGTTGAGTGTATGATGGAGGGTGTGGAAAATGTGTAATTCGGAAAAGTGGCGTTTAAATTTAAGTGAATGTATGCGTGTAGATCGTGTGGAAAAAATGAATCGAGTTAAATATTCTATTGTTTTTCTCATTACAATATATATAAACTCAACAGCTCATGACTCATGATTATTTTTGGTGGAAAACATTTGTAATGAAGAAAGTTTTTAGTAAATTGTGTTGTAAACTCCATTTGTTTCATTTGTATTTTGATGACAATGTTTAAATTTGCAGTTTCAAAAACAAGTCGGAACGTGTCCTGATAAAGTGTTAAGTATTTTATGATAGTTTTTAGTCAAAGTTAAGTAGTACTAATGAGTTTTTTTTAGTTATAAAGACTATTTACGATGACTGCGTAACTATAAAGTGTAGAAGTAGCAGACTATGGAAAGAAGGAACTGGTGAAAATTTAACTTGAATTCCATGGAAAACCTGGAAGTAATGGATTGGCGTTTCGTCCTAGTATGGGACTGCTCATCAGTGTGCGCGCGGGATATGTACTGGTGAGGAGTTCCATACTAGAACGAAATGGGTATCTAGTGCTCTTACGTTTCCAATGGTGGTCTGATTCAGATAAGTTGATTCTTTCAATGAAATTCAATAACCTCAACAACCCTCATACTGAAGATTTAACTTGAAATTCTGCGCCGAACTCATTGCCCGCCACGAGAAGGTAATGAGTAGGACTTCCCTGGCGGAAATATCTAAGTTTCTGTTAGATATTTCTGTTGCTTATACACATCTGCTATATATATCGCCTTCGGCCCCCGAATGCCCTGGTACGGCCGAGAGTGGGGTGAGTCCGCTCTCCCTCTCGAAATACTCTCACACGGCCGACGCTTTAACCGGGTTGCTGAACACGGAGAGTCCACTTAGCGGAGTTGGAAAATCTCGATTTCAAACCAATGGTGTACATGGGCTCCAGAATCCATGAGGGAACAAATGACGTGTGAACCACTCGTTGGTCACCGGCTACCATGGGATTGCATCTCCTTACGATGCTCCACTGCCTTGTGGGTTAGACCTTTAGGTCAAAGGCTCGGGGAGTGGCCCCCTAAGATAACCACCTGCTTCGGTTTGGGCACCCGGGCAGTATCACAGCCCACACACAAATGATGAACTCTATGTCTATGGCAACTACTTTTCTCGCTCCGAAAAACAATCAATTGATTCAAATAATTATCATTACTATTATTGTCATTATTAATACTATTATTATTACTATTATTGTCATATTATTATTATTATTATTATTATTATTATTATTATTATTTTCCACATTATTCACCCTCTTTTATACTTATACAGCGGCTCGTCTTTGGTGGAAATCCGACTGTATCTAAACGTTCTCGAGTCACTGTCCGGTTGAAAATTGTATGTTACCACCGAATATGAGACTGAAGCAGTTTTTCTGAAACCACGTGCACCATTCAAACTGGCTGCCTTCAACGTTCGCACATTTATGCAGGTCGGACAACAGATAGGGCTGGCTATGTCTTTGGAAAGTCTTAATATTGATGTTTGTTGTCTATCCGAGACCCGTATTCAAGACTCTGGCGAAGTACTACAAATTCGATCTCCATCTGTCGCTTCGAAAAGCTTGTTTTACGTGCGCTTATCCGGGGACCCTGTGGCATCTTCGTCTGGTCTTGCTGGCGTTGGTGTCGCACTAAGCGCTAGAGCTGAGGCAGCACTAGTCGATTGGATCCCCATTAACAGTCGGTTATGTGCTGTTAGATTAGAAAGTTCCATCAAAGTGAGAAGAAATCGGCGTGAGAAACGATGTCTTTTCGTCATCTCCGCCTATGCCCCGACAGATTGCAGCCCGGATGCAATCAAGGATGAGTTTTACCACCAGTTATCAGTTCTTCTCCAGAAAGTGCGTTCGACAGATATTGTAGTACTAGCCGGAGACTTGAATGCTCAGGTCGGGCGTCTAGGCACAGAAGAGAGTCGTTTAGGTGGCCGATGGGGACTCGTTGGTCGCAGGTCAGATAACGGGGACCGTCTACTGCAACTTGCACAGACCACAACCTGTTTCTGGCTAGCACTAACTTTCGGCACAGTCATCGCCGATGTGCCACCTGGCGTCCTCCCTCTGCATCTCAAGCCTGGACTCAGATTGATCACATCGCGATCAGCTACCGCTGGCGTGGTTGTGTAAAGACTGCCGCTCCTTTTGGAGTACCTATCTGGACTCTGACCATGCCTTGGTCTGCGCCAATCTTGCCTTACTTTTCAGTGGACAACGAAGTGACCGCCATCAACGGATTGATGTTAGCAAGCTGGTTGCAACTTCTGTTGCAAGTAAGTATCGAACCGAGCTAGCCTCTAGGCTAGCTACCACTCCACCGAAAAGTATAGATGAGCATTGGTTGCAATTGCATGACGCCATGAAAATGGCGGGAACAGTCAGTTGTGGGTTTGCGAAACGTCCCGCTTTTAAGCACTGGGTTTCTTCTGGTTCCTTACAACTCATTGAAGCCCGTCGGTCTACTCCGGGTGACCGTGAGTTTGACCATAAACGAAGGATGTTACGTAAGGAAATTGGGCAAAGCTTGCGTAAGGACCGAGAAGCCTGGTGGTCGATGCGTGCTAATGAGCTGGAAGCAGCAGCTGCATCTGGTAACTACCGGAAGCTCTTCCAGCTCATCCGAGCCACTGGCAGCAAGAAGTCTGGTGTGAGTGAAACAATCTGCGAGGATGATGGGATGCCAATCACTAACATCCATCGACGTCTTGGACGATGGGCAGAATTTTTCGAAGGGCAGTTCAACTGGCCTGCTGCTCCGGCAACATCGGTCAGACTGTCCTGCCCTCCATGGCCGGTGACGACTGATCCACCAAACGAGGAGGAAGTCCGCAAGGAACTCCAACTCTTGAAGCGTTACAAATCACCTGGCCCAGATGACTTACCTCCGGCTCTTTTTAAAGATGGTGGTGACTTTTTGACTAAGGAATTGACGACGTTGTTTACAAAGGTTTGGGAACTAGAGAGTGTACCAACGTCATGGAATGAGTCGATAGTTGTCCCTATCTTTAAAAAGGGTTCACGTCGTTCCTGTAACAACTATCGGGGGATAAGTCTACTTCCGATTGCGTCCAAGCTATTGGCTTCCGTCATTCTTCGTAGGTTGTTCAAAACCCGAGAAAGATTGACTCGCGAGGAGCAGGCTGGGTTTCGTTCTGGTCGAGGATGTATTGATCATATCTTCACCCTCCGCCAAATGTTAGAACACCGCCATACTTATCAAAGGCCAACAATCGTAGTGTTTCTTGACATCAGGGCTGCCTTCGATTCGTTGGACAGGACTGTTCTCTGGGATTGTCTATTGAAGAAGGGTGTGCCTGAGAAGTTTATTAACATCCTAAAAGCCCTATATAAAAACACCTCAGGCAGAGTGAGGGCATACAACCACCTCTCTCCATTGTTCCATTCGAGCAGTGGGGTTAGGCAGGGTTGCCCAATCTCACCATTCCTCTTCAACTTTGCCATCGATGACATTCTGGAAACAGCTCTGATGAATGTAAGTAATGGTGGTGTGGATCTGTTGCCTGGAGAAAGACTTCTCGACCTTGAGTATGCGGACGATATTGTCTTACTGTGCGATAATGCCCAAGGCATGCAATCCGCACTTAATCAGTTGGCAATCAGTGTCCGTAGGTATGGTATGTGCTTTGCACCTTCGAAGTGCAAAGTACTTCTACAAGACTGGCAGGATTCTAATCCTGTACTCACCCTGGATGGTGAGCAGATAGACGTAGTTGAGAAGTTCGTGTATCTGGGTAGCTGCATAAGTGCTGGTGGGGGTGTGAGTGATGAGATCAATGCACGTATAGTGAAAGCCAGAGCGGCTTATGCCAATCTGGGCCACCTTTGGCGCCTTCGTGATGTTAGTCTGGCTGTAAAAGGTCGGATCTACAACGCGTCGGTGAGAGCAGTTTTGCTCTATGCTTGTGAAACCTGGCCTCTCCGAGTTGAGGACGTTAGACGACTCTCTGTGTTCGATCATCGCTGTCTCCGAAGGATTGCTGACATTCAGTGGCAACACCATGTCAGTAATGCAGAGGTTCGGCATCGTGTGTTCGGGCACAGAGATGATAATTCAATTGGTGTCACCATCTTGAAACACCGACTTCGGTGGCTTGGACATGTTCTCCGAATGTCGTCCCAGAGAATTCCACGTCGTGCATTATTTGCCGACTCTGGGACTGGTTGGAAGAAGCGGAGAGGTGGTCAGTGCATGACATGGTGTCGTGGCATGAAAGAAAGCTGCAAAGGACTGGCTTGTGTTGGTCCTTCACGACTCCCTGGTTGGGGTCTGAGAGATGGTGCTACACAGTGGCTAGAGACGTTATCAGATATGGCTCAGAATAGAAGCCAGTGGCGATCCTGCTGTAACCTTCTTTTACTTTCTTCATAAAAAGTGGTTGTGTCTCCCTTACCTGAAAGATTTCTTCCGATTGTACCTTTGCGTTCCCTGATTACTAGCACATTACCTTACACCAATCTCTTCGTTATTGTTCTCTCTTTTTTTTGTTGCGCTCCTTAGCTTTTTTTTTCTTTCTTTGTATTCCTCTCGAATTTTCATTGTTTTGTGTGGCGCATATATATTGGCGCTCTCTTGTACCAATATTCATGTGTCCAAATAAATAAATATCGCCTTCGGCTACATTCTAAAAATTATTATTGGAAGCCGGTAACTGGGATATAGATAAACATTTTGTTTTATTTGGGATAATTTTTATGACTTTATTTCCACTCACTACAATAAAGTGGGTAAACTAATGCCAAAAAGTTGATTTAGAAATCCGTAATAAACAGAGAGGTCAGAAGAAAGATAATTTATAATTATTTTAAAGAAACTATTTAAAAAATGTCTGAAATCTAACTCGATCTGCCGTCTACATGAATCGAGGAACAAAACTAACTTCATTTCCCAATATTAAGATATTAAACAGTCTCAATGGATTCTTTACAAGACTACAAGATCATGAATCATTATTTCCAAGTAAAGCCATCAAACCTCCCGATAGACAACAACCTGAGAGAACCCTGAACAGAGTTGGTTAAGGATCTTGGTTGGCCACCTTTGCTCTACGAGGAGTGACATTAAAAACTTGATTGAACAACACGACCGGTATATTTTGGCTTTTGAACACTTAAGTGGATTCCTCGAGATACTAAGAGAGTTAGTCAACTAGAAAATACACAGTTAAAAAGTTATCAAAATAGAGGAATTAACCTCTATACATTCCAAAATGCACACATAGGTAGAGCGGAATTTGATAGAAAATACAAACTAGGTGTTTTATATTGATGGCTTTCGATTATCAAACATGTCGCTAAGTAATCCAAATGTAACTGATTTAAACAGTATACATACACACACTAGCATCATCAAACAAATATTGTTTAAAAGCAAAGAAACGGGCACAATGATGCATAGACGATTTATCATACAACATCTAACATGGTGAAACAAATTAGTCTTGGGGATATTAACTATCGAATATAATTATACGACGGTCAATTTCGACACATTCAGAAAAAGAATAATAAGCTTCCAATCAACTGAAATTGATTTCACGAGATCTTATGACATTTTCTAGCGTCAATGTCTCCTTTTCTGTAAAAACTCAACTGAAAAAGGTCATACCTCCTCTAACAACTCATAAAAACGAGAAAAGCCTTTACTAACTGTTTATTTGTTATATAAATCGCAATCTAAGATGATTGGAGGTTGTTGTGTCTTGTTATTGGAGTTCAATATGGCCTACGATGTCACGAATCTAGCAACAAACACGATTGAGCTACTCTAATATGGTCGGTTCTCTTCGGAATTGGAAACGTTCATTTACACAGAATACATCAAACCTCGACAGCTAATACAGAAAGAAGACGGAATTGTAGGTAACTTGATATTGAGATAGGGACAAGCAACACAACCGGAATTGGTACAAAAGTTGTTACTATAGTAGCAGAGTATGAACTTTGAGCATACAGCAATTTAGAGAAATAAAAAAACGATGACAATCAATCCGAGGGCAAAGGTCATGCAGGAAATCGAATTGGCACAAATTGTGCGAGCTTTTATTTTTTCTGAAAAGATCTTAGCTTTTCTAATAAAATTCCACTTTTCTTGTGATCACTTTAGCAGAGGTAATTGACAGGAAACCTTGCTTAACCTAGGTTTCGCGGTATCTGACATTCATCAGCAAAGTGTACCTATAACTGATGCTTCCGAGAATCAGTCCTCCCAAGAGTACAGGTACATCTTGCCGACAAGTTTCAAACGGGGTTTCTTGTTGACTGCCTACAACCACCACCTTGTCTATCACATATAACGCGCAAATTCGAGTCATCCAGACTAGTGAACACATTAAAACTTGATCGATAGGATTCTGTGAGCACTAAAAAAAGAATCTGATATGTATGCCTTTGGTCACCACCCGGTAATCAATCAATTGGAAGTAAGTTTTAATCACCTAACCTGTTTACTATCGAACAAAGCATACTTCAAGGTCGCTATGGATTGAGTAAAAAATGTATCCGTATAGAAAGACGAAGTGAGATGCTTCTTTGTATTTCAACATATTCTATCATAAAGTTTTCTAGTGAAATTACTCAAACAATTTAAGTAGCCTATGTATATCATCATATTACTATAAACAGACCAGAATACAACTTCAATACACAGAAAGCAGATATTTTCGCAATTCAGTGAAAGTAAAGGCTCTCTCGACCAATTATCATTCTTTTTGAAAATCATTTCATTTTCTGAGATTCTTACTACCCAGAGTTTGGGGGCTGGATATTATTTTTCTGGAGAGAAATACTCTTTGATGCGGTTAGATATTCATAAATTTCGAAATAATCTTTTATATCTAATGAGAGGAAAATTCAATAATCAATATATTTAATTAATATATCCCCATAATTATTTTGATGACAATCCTATTGTATTCATTATAATTAATACATGAAAATGATTATCATACAAGTAAAATTAATTTCATCAACATAATAAGATATTAATAAATTATCAATAGTAATAAAATGATCATATACTTACTAAACCTAAAATTACAGTATCAGCACCATGTAAAGCTGCAATGGAACTGCTTCGATGACCAGCTTGATGTAAACGAAAAAATTCAATGAGTTCAGCTTCCTAATAAAAAAATAATTAAACAAAAACAAATGTAACACTACATATACTAATCTTTTATAAAATTATGATTATATTGAACAAATATCCATGATAAATTAATTAGATGGACACTATTTAATATTCTAAAAAGAATATGTTATTTATTGCCTATTAGAAATGCAAATAGATGTCATAAATGAAATTTGCTATTGATTCAGAATGTAACAGATTCAAGGTTTGTGATGTCAACTATGAAACTATGACTAAGTATATATAAACTAGATTCTTCATCTAAAGCTTGGAAGGTAATATTCCAAAAGTAAGTCGTTGAACTATGGAATCATTGTTCTATATTTCAAGTATACAAAGTAAAGAAAAAAAACTTCAATGTATATGTTTAAAAACAAACTTTTAAGTGGTTCAAGATGTTTCCAACTTCGACAAATTACATGCGTTTAAATTACAAGCAATATAAAAAGGCTGATAAAATACATAAAAGCCTTATCTCAATGTCGGTTATTACTGATGTAAACGGTTTACCAGTTCTCACCGTTATTTAAAAAGTATTTTCCACCTCTACCACAAAATTGTTTGTGCATTCCCATCACACATTAACGTGATTATTAGTCATGTATTTATGTTGAGAATACTATAATCACCAAAACTCCGGTCTACTGAAAAAACTATCCCAAAGATAGGCAGTTTGTGAAGTGTTCAATCCAAATTTAGTTCTTTCTATTATAAAATAATATTAAATTGAGAACTATTTCACCATAGTATAGCACTTCTCATTGATGCTCACTTATAACCTCATAAGGGAACGAACTCATCAGCTTCAACCTGTGTAGTTAGCACAGCAGCCTTAGACCATTGCGTAGAAATCAAGTGGCCGGTTCACGATATCTCTCGATTACCACCCGATGCTTTCAAAGTCAACAGATTTCAAATCCCTGGTGAATCATATGATGAGATTCACACAATACTGTAATATAAATTGAACAACTTATGGTAAAAAAAATAGCATACAGTTGTACCAACAAGAGTGTATGGGATCTCATTTGACAACTTCTAAACAACTCACATTCGGAAATGATACTGGTTCGTTTATTTTGAAATGAGTTTAAGTAATAAGAAATCGGAATAATTGATACTATGAAAATTCGGTTTAATAATCTAAATTTCAGATCAAACAGAGTTCCTATTATCAGACATTAGACACTCAATATAACTTACAGATCACTATTTAAACACAATTTTCAATCCTAACGAAGAATAAATGAACGGTAACTGTTGGGAATTATTTATGAACTGTTGTTATGTGCATATTAAATAACTAGGTAATACATATTTATACTTCTCTTAATATAAGCTTTCATTTGACATATTGGCTACTATTATAGGACTTACTATTCTTAACCTATTTCCGATTTATTAGTTAGTCTGTTATACTCACAGCCACTTTTGGCTTAATCTTGTATTATTATTTTCTATTTTATGGTACCATGCGGTCTCATTTGTTTGTATATAAACTGAGCATATCTGAAATACATGATTCATGTAGTGTAAGCTGAAATTGTGTTTTGGACTCAACGGACAAAACAAGGCAATAAGGACTCTGTTATGTCCCGATAAGCATAATGAATAGTAACTTTTGGGATCCATTTAAGGACCAATACTATGCGTATATTTTATCGTATAATTGTTGAATAACTAAACTGTTCATATTCATGCCCATCTTATTAGGACCTTTACATTGACCTATGAACTATTATTATACGATCTACCATTCTTGAATCATGCCCTGTCTATTAATTACTACCTCCCTCATTCACAGCCACTTTGGGCTAATTCTTCTACAAATGTTGTTTCATATTTTATGGTACGATGTGGTCTGTCTGGTTGGTATATAAACCCAGTATGCTTGAAATAAATGTATCATATTGAAGAGGCTGAGATTGGTGTTCTGGACTTAACTGGATGGGTTAGGCGGAAAGCAGGACCAATCAGGACTCTAGACTGCTTGTACGGGTTTTACGCGTCCTTGGTCCGATAGATAATTCACTGCTCCCTATTTGGTGGTATCATTACGTATACATTAGCAGGGCACTCAGGCCACAAGTTATAACAGACTCAGAGTTGATTAACGCGTCATTGGTTTGGCATAGCGTCAAGGTCATATAAGTTGTGTTCTAATTAGCGGTTTAGTCACGTGATAAGAAACAGGGCAAAAATCATAACACAAGCACAGAGCAATGTTCTATTAAAATACTCACTAAAAGGAATGAAATTAGCGAAAATAAGGTGAACTCATCTCATTTACCTATGAATTATTGAATATATAACATAAACATGTGTAGTTAGTAATAAATATATTTTTTGTGTTTGTGTAGTTAAATTTTCAATAAAGATACCATGGAAACTCGAGAAAACATTTTACTTATTTATTTAAACACATGGACATGGGTACATGGAGGCATCAAATAGATATGCGCCACATATATCATTCGATTTGTGTGAGGGCTGTGATACTGCCCGAGTGACAAAACCGAAACAGGTAGTTTTCTTAGGGGGCCACACCCGGAGCCTCGACCTGAAGGTCTGATCCACAAGGCAGTGGAGCAACGTCAGTAGATGCAGTCCCATGGTAGCCGGCGATCAACGATTGGTTTATACGCCACTTGTTACTCCAGGATCCTGAAACCCATGTGCACCATTGGTTTGGAATCAGGGTTTTACAACTCCCCTAGGTGGATCCTCCATATCTATCTACCGCTATATTTATTCCTTTTTTACCACACTTCTACATTTATCATCTCAAAATGTGTACGTGAAAATCATAGCTTATTCCCAACCACATTCAAAAGTGATTGTCGATTCAAATACATTGAAAGGATAGAAAAAACTCATTTTATTTCTTATAAGTGTTTTGATAACGGTATCAAGTTCTCAATCGGTTCACAAACTCAATTGTACATCAGCTGTTATCAATTCAAGATATATAAAGGTTTATCTACGATGATTAGTAGAAATTCACTATCAAATGATATGTAAACTTGGACTTTGAATGAAAAAATCCGTGATAATTAACTTAGAACTACTATGGTAAACAAAACGTTATTTTTAGGTGATTGCAGGTAGTTGGTAGTGATCCGAAGAACTTAGCCATAACATCTCAGATTGCGAAGCTGAGCAATGTGAGTTGGAGTCCCACTGGGAGCACCGTCTTTTTCAAGATTACAGGCACGCCTTGTTGGCGAATGTCAACTAGAGCAAAAACTAGGTCCATAGTTCCCTGATGACTGCCTCCAACCATTTAACAACTCAACTCACAGCACACAAAGTCGAATCGCTCAGACTAGTGACTTAGTCGATGGGATTCAATCAGAATTAAGGACTAGGAAAACGCGACAATTCATACTTCCAGATCCATTGGTAAATTTAAATAAAGAGAGAACGACAAGATTTACTACACTATGCTTTATTCTGTGAATTATGTCTTCCTCGCTTTATTCAAATATGAAAATGGACATTATTCAGTGACCAATCAATTGTAAAAAAAAACTGTTATTTTATTGATAAAACAGAGAATATCACTCCGTCTTTTCAAGATGAGCGAAAGTTCAAAAACTCATACATCCGCTAGGCTTAATAAACAACTATGCTTTGTTATTAACTCAATTACATACTTGATATGTTACATCACAAAATATCGAATAAAAACCAAAAGGGAATATAACAATTATTTCATTGTAGTTTAGGGATTTTTACGGCGGTAAACCACAAACTTTAGGCCTCGTAATGAATACGATATCCTTTAAATCACCGAGTCAAAATCCACTGGTGCATATTTTCAACATTAGCCAGCTCGTAATATAATTTGAACACATAGACAACAAATAACATGTGCCCATTAATTATGTAGTCGGTTATGAGCAAAACATTCGTTTTGTGAAGACCTGTGATACAATAACGATACACACAGTCAAAATACCATCCAGTAGAGGAAACTGACACATTAACACTAAGTGTCATACCTAAAAAAAATTGCAGTTTTTTCTATGGTATCCAGGCTAATTTATAAGTAGGTGAACCAATCACAAAACTAAATGTCATATTGATCATCATAGTGTGACAAACACATCATGATATTTATTGGCAGAAAAAGTCACATGACTTCCCGTTTAGGAATACAAGTTCTAAAGACAATATCAAACCAGTACTAGTACAATCAAAATTAACACGAATGTTCATTATGGAGAATTTTCAGCGCATAAAATCATAAACAGTAGACAAACTTGTTGTTAGGTGCCTTAGTCCAAACACTGGAATTAGTGAACGTTACATGTGTATATAATTAATCTATTTTAAGAACACAAAGATTGGCCGAATTACAAATTGTTTGAATATTTTCAACCAACTTAAACAACACTCAACAAAACCACTTGAATATCCACATTAATAACTAACTTCGAGATAACTTTACTGAATATGTAGTGGGAAGCCATGATCGGTGCAGTCAACCAAGCAGAGAATGAAGATCGTAATAAAACAAATTGAATGTTGGTAATGTGAACTGTTTGATTTCGATTTAATGACTCAACCACATAACACTTACATAAAAACACATAAACATTGGTACAAAGGGGCACTGAAATATACATGCGTCACACAAGTAGTTACCATCAGATATATGTGCAGGCTGGGATACCGTCCAGGTCCCCAAACTGAAGCAAGTGGTTTCTCGAAAAGGGGGTCATCCTCCGAGACTTTGATCTAGAGGCCTAGTCCACGAGACAGTGAAACAATGTGATGGGATGTGGTTCCATGACAGCTGGTGACCAAGAATAGGTTTGTAGGTTATCGGTTCCCACTTACCAGAAGGAGACTCTCAGTACCCCTGATCTTAAAGTTCAGTCTTTCTCACTATCACCGCTACTACGAATACTACTATTCAACTTAATTTTATCTCGAGCTGATAAGGTTGCTGTAATGAATTGATACACATTTATCCCAGGCTCTAC